ACTTTTCAGCACTTAAAAACTTAAGAAGTTTAATGTGTTCTTTAAATTAATATACTAATTTGCCTTGCAAATCCAAATAAGAAATGGATTAAGATTTTTTTTTTAAACAAAGAAGTATTTATTTTTGTCTACTACGAAGCAAAAGACCAAGCCAGCTCTAAGACTTATTTAGATCACCTAGAAGTTTTAAGATAACAGGTTCCATAACAATATTCTCCTCCCCATGCCATACGAACTTCTGTGTGCCTACTAATCCAGACTTTGAAGTTTTGCTCTACTTAATTAAAACACATTACTCCATAGTAATAAAAGAAAATGCTATTATATCTGGTGTTTCAGTAACTGACTTTTAGTATGTACATATTATTATATGAACTATCCCTTACTGATGCAAAGAAAATAGGCTTTCAAATACCAACAGCAAGATTTAACCATGTTTTCTGTCCGAGCTTTTCTTCAAAAGATCATTATTATGCAGATATAATGGCAAGTCTATGCGTGCAAGCAGTTGCTAAAGAGCATTCAAAAGGAGAATTAGAACATTTTAAGCCCCTTCGTATCAGTGCCAGCAGCTGAACAAACCAGAACCCCGACAGCCCCGGAGGCTTCCTCACAGCAGATTTCCATAAAGCTACCCTGCCTTGCTTAATAATCTTCCCTAGCAGGTAACTTTCATTCTGAACAATTATGACCGATTTTTTTTTTTTTCAGAGGCAATACAGCCTCTGAATACTGCAAAGGTCAATCTTCTCGCTGAGCATTTGGTATTAGTCAAAGATGATTTTTTCTTTTTCTTTTTCTGGAGGGAGTTTCTGATGCAGCCAAAAAAAAAAACCCCCCCCCCCCCCCCCCCAAAAAAAAAAGAAAAAGTAAGCCAAGTTTTGCTTACTTTTAAAATTAGAAATAGGATAAAAATTGATTGAAAAATTTGTTCTGATAGGATTACTACCTGGTTCTACAGATTAGATCTGTCAACATATTTTGCAGGCATTTTAGTTAAAAGCCATAAGATTTTTCCAGAAAGTTTCTTCCAAGTAATCTTTACTCCCTCTCAAGTGTATGAGGTTTAAAAGTACATCTTTTAGTCTTCCTGTATCAAGTATTTTGAAGCCTAATTTTGAAAGTGTTGGTCTCATGCCTATCAGCATTTTTCCAGCTAAACAAAACAATTTTTCTTAAAAACAAACAAGAAAACCCCAAACTTCTATGCATTCCAAACACCTGCATCTCAAATAAAAAGGTTTACCTGTTTCCTTTATTTTCAAAAGACTCTCTTGCAGAGAAAGCACACCAAAACTTTCAAACAGGTTTTTCTTAGCAACTTAAAATGGAAATTAATGTTGTCTGCTAATATATATCCTAAGGGAGTATTAACAGCATACAGAATATTAGTATTATAGTAACCTGAAGAACAGAGAGGCTGTTTCGAACTACAGCAACAAGCTGTTATGCTGCACCTAAAGAACATATTTAATACTCTTGTCTATGGGTGGTCCAAGAATTTACACTAAATTTAAGTCAGAGAAAGAAAAGGCAGAAACGTGAAGAAGCTATTTTTTTCAATAAGCACTTCCTAAAGTAGCCAGGCCAAGTCCAATAGATGAGAGCTATTCTCCAGAAGAGCAGACAACTGAAAATACTAGAAATTTTAAACAGATTCACAGACACTCCACTCCCCTCCTCATTCCTTCCAAAGGAACTCAAAGGTGCTAAAGGTAAAAATGTGCTAGACTATTTACTTTTGATATCTTTTTGACAATACACTGTAATTTTTACCCTTCCACAAAAACAAATTTTTCTGAAGTGCTGAACAACTTGGCACAATGAACACGGAACCATAAGTTCTATACAAAACACCAACTACGCAGACCTCTTTTTGTATTCACTGCCCCATACTAATAATCAGAAGTGCAAAAATGGTAATATTTTGTCAATCTTGGGCACAAAATTACACATCTGAGATGAAACACTTATAATAGGCACAGAGGGGGTTTTGTTCTTTTCAACTAAGAAGAAAAGTCAAGGATTGGAAATGGTTGCCATGGGAGGCTTTCAAGGTCAGTCTGGATAAGCCCCCAGCAACCTTATCTGACCTAAGATTTGACACTGCTTTGAGTAGGAGGTTGGACTACAGATCTCCCAAGGTTCTCTCCAACTTGAATCATCCTATGAAAAAATGCATGTGCACATTCAAAATTCAGCACAAATCTTTCTGAAACACTAACTACTACCTGCAAGGAATATAAAGGTCCAAAGTTAGTAAGATAGATACAGCGATGTCAACCTCCGTTAGGTGAGCCTGTCAGATCATCATCTATCCCTATCTTGGTACCTTATGGAGGAACTAGGAATGATCAAAGATGGTACTGCAGTAAACATGTCTAAATTCTGACAACTATATTTAGCACTCTCAGCCCCCCACGTAAACATAAGCTATACCATTTTGCATCACATTACTTTTATAACCTTTTTAATTAGCTATTAACTGTGTGCCATTTTTTCCTAAAAACAGTCTCTCTGTATACTAGAAACTATGTTTAAACAAAACTGTAATGGAAAAATATTTATCTAGGGGATTTGTATGTTTGAATTTAGACATACATAAGTAACGACAGTGCTAAGCAGTCCTACTATATACACACTCACAGAATCTTACAAGCTTTAATCTATTTCTTACATAAACTGAAAATAGTCCATTGCAAAATCTCTATGTAACACCACACAAGTTTACAGGGTGTTATGTCAACATCCTTTTCCTTGGAAGTAGTCTCTTCCATTAATTTCATGCCTTAATTTCTGAACAGCACTATTTCCAAAAATAACGTTGACTCATCTAATGAAGCGCTACTAGGATGAGCTAGCAGGAGACAACAGGACCAAGGGCAGAGAAAAAGCAGTAGCCTCCAGGATGAAAATGCTTTACAGAATGAAGAGTTTGATTCCACAGAAAGATACAGTCTGCTTCCTACAGCCTACCTAATTCCACTGGCTTCACAGGAATTGAATTTAACTTGATTAAAATAGAAAAGGTCTCTTTTTAATTCAAAAAAGTGAAACAAAGTGATTTATAAAAGTCTCCACAATAACTATGTGTCATTTAGATCATATTTTGAAGATTCAAATGCTACTTAGGCTAGGCATTGTTCTCTTTACAGTAACCCTTTTTCAGGTTTTAATAGCAAGTTCTAAAAATAGAACATGTTAATAAAATACCATCATAATTTCCACTTCTGTCATATCCCAAGGTATTTCACACCAAAACAATTCAATAGGTAAATAAATGTTTCTAGCAATAAAATAACTTGCAAGTCAAAACCTGTAACAGCTACACATACAGAATATATCACGCCAAATTACTATCCACTACTATTAATTATGACAAAAATACATGCAAGATCTTTATGAGAGGGACATCCGAACGCTTTATCTTCAATACAATGAAAGAGTTAATTGCTGAGGGCTCTCCACAATTCTGTTTAAAAAAAAACCTTCTCTCACTAAATTAGACCAAGCCTTGAGCCACATCACCATTTGCTGAGCCTCTGTCCAACATGCTTTAGTTATTGGCAATGCATTTAATCCTCCTGTTTGCACAGAAATTCATCTATGAGTCTGGCAAGAAAAGAGCTATTTCAGAATGAATGCCAGAAGGTAATATATAAAACACCCAAGCCTCAGGCCCTAACAAACAAGCTGTGTTATACTGCCTCCCAGTGCACAGCGGCTGCCTGAAGCTCAAATGAAATAGGTTGAAGAATCCATTTTAGACATGGAACTACCAATAATTCCCAAAGGAATTACAACTTTTTTAGAGCCTGTTCTGAAAAGCATTGAAGTTGTTTTGAAAAATTCTAGACAGAAAATAATATTGAACTGTGGGATTTCATTTCACTTTAAATAAAGAAATAAACTGCAAAAGTAAAAATGAAAACCATGCAAATTCATATGGTGGACCTCTTTTTGAGTACTTGTCCCAAGAATCTCTTATGCAAGACATTGCACAAACCAGGATTTCTAAATCATAGATTAAAAAAAAAATCATTGATAAACCCCAAGAATTTTACAGCAGATAAAATTTCTCTAGGAAAAGGAAGAAGCATTTTTGTATTTTATATGTTAGGTGACCCAAGCCAAAGCATTTGTAAAAAGCAAAGTAAAAAAATAAATACAGATATCTGTTAATCTCTGTGGGCCTCATATCATGCTCTGAAACACTAACAGAGAATTCAGTCCTCCAACACTGCCCATTCAAACCCTAATAAAAGTAATTTCATAACTATGTAAGTCAACATCAAAAACATTCATATCTAGCACCCTATTTTTTTAATCAGTAACAAACACATCAACACTGATGTTCAGAATTTATAATAGTCTAATACAGACATTTAGTAAAGAGGCTTAAGTTCAATGTAATCACCATTTCCAATTCTTTCGCAGACCATGAACACAAAGCATTGCAGAAAATATTAAAAAAAAAGAAATCATATAACAAAACCTACAACTGAATTTGACTGGGAGAAAAGAGGCAGGGGGACTTTCTAACATTTTTAAGATTAGCATTTTTTCTGCTGGGTCTTAAAAAAAAAG